GTTAGGGTTAGGGTTAGGGTTAGGGTTAGGGTTAGTGAGAAATAGCTAAACGAGCCAGGTCAAACAGAGGTCAGGGGGACATAGACCCTACGAGCAGTAGTAATAGTAGTAATTTTAAGACTGGGATCTGTAGCTGTTGGCTCACTCTGAATGGCACGACAGGTTATATATGCAGACTTGTGGTGTCTTATCCACTGATTAATTTCTTATTATGACAGAGGATGGATATATCAAATTTAGTTATAATGATGCTACGGCAAGCATACAAAAAAATCAAATGATTTTTTAAGACTTTTAAATTAGTAAGAGTAAAAACTTAACTTTAGGGTGATACTCCATTAGAAGTGTTTGCAACTTTAATGTCATTAATGGTCATAATAGCATAATATATATATATATATCAGGAGTAGATAATAGGGAAGGAGTGTGACTTCAATAAACAGATTGCCGGTGCGGTATCTCCGGATTGCGGGTGTATACGAGGAAACGATTTCGCACGATGCTAGGCGAATGTACTGTGTACGATTTGAGCTCAAGTTGGATGAGTTACGCGTAGTAAATCGTAGGTATTATAAGGCTAGTAAATGACGAATTTTTCTTGTTTATTGAAGTCACACTCCTTCCCTATTATCTACTCCTGATATATATATATATGGTCATATATTATAGTTTGTGGTTTAATGTCATTTAGGTTAGGGTTAGGGTTAGGGTTAGGATTATCAATCATTAATCATTAATCATTAATAATTAATGATATCAAAGTTGGGAACACTCCTAATGGAGCGTTGGCCTAACCCTGTGCCGAGGTGAATGAGAGTGGTTGTCATGCAGGTGGTAGTGATGAATGTAATAGTTTCCACCATTTCTTTCAGTGAAATGCCTGCATCTTGGCTGAGCAACAAGTTCATGGAGCTTGGGTTGGAGGTTTATTCACAGAACTTTTCCATGAATCATCCATTAAAAAAGCACACTGTATGTATATCATGTCATCCAAATTGGCTAGATTTCTCTGATAAAAACCTTCACAATCATGTAGGTACAATGGGAAAATGCTCAAAGTCATTTTAATGCCTATACCCACTGACAGTACAATGATACATTCTGTTATGCTAGTCTATCTTTTGTCTTTATTAAATATATGCTGGAGATGTACTAATCATACTGTATTATCTGTGGTTGCAGGTCGTTAGTGGGACAAACGTTTACGCGATCATGAGAGCTCCTAGGATGGCCAGCACAGAAGCTGTAGTGCTCAATCTGCCCTTCAGGAAGTCGAATCTTCCCGGTGTTGCTCTGTCCCTGGCCGTCGCAAAGTATTTCAGGAGTCAGTGACAGCGATGCACATTTATATATATATATATATATGCAATTAAATTAGCTATAATGTGTAAAAGGTTAGATTTTAGCTGCTAAATTTAATCTGCTGCATTAGCAGTAACATGTTGCTGGTGAAAAAGGGTTTGCTGATTACTAATGGGAATTATTATCTAGTCTTATTTTACCTATTTTAAACATAATTTTAGTTTGCATTGTATTGCATATGTGAATGAGCTACGTAGCCTACCATGAACCTGTATATTTTTCATATACAATTCTATATACTTAAATCGTGATTTTACTGGTAAAGTTATATATTATATATATATTTCACCAGGGCATGCCTACTGGGCAAAGGATGTAATATTCCTCGTATCAGAGCAAGACCAGCTTGGTGTCCTAGCATGGCTGGATGCATACCATCACCATGATGACAGCAACTCAGATTGTGAGTTATTTCATATGGTCTTTAAATCAGAAACATTTTGCAGTGTAAAGGCCAAGACACACTGCATCGACAGCGACCGACCGTAACGACAAACGACTTTTCAGAAAATTAGAAACTATTGTTTCTTATGAGCCATTGCACACACACGCGACAACGACCAGTGACAACCTCAACGACAAAAATATTTAAAAACGTTTCTATCTCCTGCGACAGTCGCGAGCAACACTTTACAAATAGCCAATCGCAGCCATTTCCATCGGCACGTGACATTACGATTACGTCATAAATAACCCATAATGCTAGCCAAGACGTAGACTTGTCTCCGGCGCTAAACTCGCGCCGCATGTCACAAACAATGGGGCCGCGAACCAGTCTAACCAAAGCGTGCAAGCTGTGGCAAGCTAGACACAGTACGTAAAGTACATGATAATTTGTTGCGTATATTTTACTTTATTATCTTATCTTTATACCTAGAGAGTTTTTGCAGCCTGTTATTTAAAAGCAGCAGCATGAGTTTTTGCCGTTTGTTCATGTGATGATGTGTACCACTGTGGCGAGTGCTGGGTGAACTTTGACCTAACGTCGGTCGCTGTCGCTGCAGTGTGTTTGCGCCAGTTGCCGCGACTTTGTTGTTTGTCGTTACGGTCGGTCGCTGTCGCTGCAGTGTGTCTTGACTTCAATGCTGCTAAACCTTTAAAGTTGTATAAGCATTTTCAGCAGGAGGCTTCACAGTCATTGAATATTTCTTGTATTGGTAGCATTTTTCCCGCTTTTAAACGTAAATGCGTGATCATTTGCAGAGTTCGCATACAAGCCTTCGCACATCGTAGGTGGTGACACTCTACACACGTTCCTATTCCAGTTTTGAAAAGCTCAAATCTAGAGTCCAGAGCTGGCTCCATCCTTGCAGCAATTAGCCTGGAAATTCTAGCTGATCGGGTCACAACATTTGATATGCAAGTGGAAGGCCTGGATGGACAGCTACCCAATTTGGACCTGTTTAACTTAGCTGTGCGACTCTGCCACACTGAAAATATATCTCCGACATTTCATGGCAAGGTAATAATGGCTGTGTAGACATGTGTGTAGTCAATAAAATGTAGATTGCCTTGTGATCGGTTCTTGCATCCTTGTATTTTGATTTCACTAACAAGATTATGACAAAAATTCTCGTAAATTAACGTTATAAGTTTAGACTGAAAATCGATTGGAACAGAAGTTGCAGTTGCTATTTTGCATTTACTTACTTGCATGTGTTTTAACTCAGGCTAACCACCGATCACCAAGATCTCAGAAGGGGTACATTCATGCCCTGACAACCATGCTATCTATGGTCATAACTCAAGCTTCAGGTCAACCTTCAGGAAACCACGGTCTCTTCCAGCGTTTCAACATCGAGGCAGTATCAATGGTTGGGTCAAGGCAAAAGGGAACTTCCTACGGCTTTAAGCAAATGGGAAGGTGTGAAATGTGTTACTAATTTTGCAATTTTATTATAAAAACATATTTTGCTCTCTTTTTCATGGATATACCAAAGTCAGCTTACATATTGACATTATTGACCTACATGCTAAACCAGTAGAATGTAAATTTCATATGAATTTCAAAGATTTTAAGATATTTCAATCTACGCCAATTCCTTGTACCTACCCATACATGTGAATAATGGTTTTATTAGTCCTTCGACCAGTAGGGTGACCTATCAGTTTATCTCAATTAAGTTTGTTGCATAGGTAACTGGGAAGCATCCCCGGTCTTCACGTGTTGTTGCAGAGTGGTGGAGGGAATCGTCCGCAGTCTGAACAACCTGCTAGAACGCTTTCATCAGTCATTCTTCTTCTATCTCCTGCCATCCACGGACCGCTATGTCTCCATAGGCATGTACATGCCACCATTTGGGTTGATCGTGATTCCTGCTGTTATCAAAGTATCCTTTCATAAGTGTAAGAGCGTGTATCTTACTCAGAATGCTATGCAGCATATGTGTGTTTATATATATATATGTATAGAAGTAAAGTCACACACGAACACCCGTGTAGATAAAAACAAAGTACAGGTATAGAATAAGGGTGTTTAAAATTTAATTGACATGCTTTCGAGATTACAGCCTCGTTCACACGAGACCTCGTATTTATGAAATACGATATTTGCGAAATACCGAATCTGAGACAAATACGCGGCCGAGCGTTCATTTTAATTTACTTTTATTCTCGGGCTGCTTTGCCCCATCAATGAAACGCCACGTTACGCCGATTTTATTGACTTGTTAACACCAAGGCCAACGTGACTTAAACAATCCTGCACTCACCCCCCTTCCCGTACATTAATCAATATGCCGCCCCAGGCACGTATACACAGCCACGCTGTGCTGGCGCTGCACGCTCTCGCGCTTCTTCGGCGACCTTTGATAATATAAAGTGAGGATGTCGTGGGATAGCCGCCCTTCACAATCGCTACAACTGTATTTCATCAATGCTTGGATATATAACGTAAGGAACCAACATTTGATTAAAGTTTTCGACAATTATTTTTACTCGCCAACATGGGCGAGTCAGCTTTAGCTTTCACTCGCCCGATATTATTTTCACTCGACTTTGGCGAGCGGGCGAGTGCCAAGCTCGCACGCTGCATTTGTTCGGGAAAATGTTCCGCAATGTGCGCCAGGCTTTAGCCGGTGAGACGAGCTCACCGATCTCCAGGAGGGTCCTCGCGACCTACGAATCGAGCTGTCCCTCCTCCAGGCGGGTAAACTCGCCAGAATGCGAGTTGAGTTGGCGGTTGGGTTAAGTTGACCATGCCCCCAACTAATGACGTCCTCAACCGTTTCTTGTAGCTACTTGGCACTTAGCTCAACATGGGTAACCCTTTTCTCTGCCACAGGTCAATGAAAAATTATGTGAGCAGAGTGGGTGAGATGTGTTTGCAGCATGTTGAGTCTCACTAGTGGTGTGGATGTTGCAAATAAGATATATCTGCTTGTGTTATTGCACGTGAGATTATTTGTGTTTGATATTATAGGGGCCCAGATTGTCAAAATCACAACAGATATCTCATGCTGTGAAGCCTCCTCTTACTGAACATGCGTATACAACTTTAAAGTTTGGCAGCATTGAAGTAAGACACACTGCAGCGACAGCGACGACCGTAACGACAAACAACAAAGTCGCGGCAACTGGCGCAAACACACTGCAGCGACAGCGCCCGACGTTAGGTCAAAGTTCACCCACACTCGCCACAGTGGTACACATCATCACATGAACAAACGGCAAAAACTCATGCTGCTGCTTTTAAATAACAGGCTGCAAAAACTCTCTAGGTATAAGGATAAGTATATAAAGTAAAATATACGCAACAAATTATCATGTACTTTACGTACTGTGCTAGCTTGCCACAGCTTGCACGCTTTGGTTAGACTGGTTCGCGGCCCCATTGTTTGTGACATGCGGCGCGAGTTTAGCGCCAGAGACCAGTCTACGTCTTGGCTAGCATTATGGGTTATTTATGATGTAATCCGTAATGTCCACGTGCCGATGGAAATGGCTGCGATTGGCTATTTGTAAAGTGTTGCTCGCGACTGTCGCAGGAGATAGAAAGGTTCCTAAATATTTTGTGCGTTGAGGTTGTCACTGGTCGTTGTCGCGTGTGTGTGCAATGGCTCATAGGAAACAATAGTTTCTAATTTTCTGAAAAGGTCGTTTGTGCGTTACGGTCGGTCGGCTGTCGATGCAGTGTGTCTTGGCCTTTACACTGCAAAATGTTTCTGATTTAAAGACCATATGAAATAACTCACCAATCTGAGTTGCTGTCATCATGGTGATGGTATGCATCCAGCCATGCTAGGACACCAAGCTGGTCTTGCTCTGATATGAGGAATATTACATCCTTTGCCCAGTAGGCATGCCCTGGTGAAATATATATATAATATATAACTTTACCAGTAAAATCACGATTTAAGTATATAGAATTGTATATGGAAAAATATCAGGTTCATGGTAGGCTACGTAGCTCATTCACATATGCAATACAATGCAAACTAAATTATGTTTAAAATAGGTAAAATAAGACTAGATAATAATTCCCATTAGTAATAGCAGAACCCTTTTTCACCCAGCAACATGTTACTGCTAATGCAGCAGATTAAATTTAGCAGCTAAAATCTACCTTTTACACATTATAGCTAATTAAATTGCATATATATATATATATTTATATATAAATGTGCATCGCTGTCACTGACTCCTGAAATATACTTTGGCGAGCGGCCAGGGACAGAGCAACACGGGAAGATTCGACTTCCTGAAGGGCAAATTGAGCACTACAGCTTCTGTGCTGGCCATCCTAGGAGCTCTCATGATCGCGTAAACGTTTGTCCCACTAACGACGCTGCAACCACAGATAATCACAGTATGATTAGTACATCTCCAGCATATATTTAATAAAGACAAAAGATAGACTAGCATAACAGAATGTATCATTGTACTGTCAGTGGGTATAGGCATTAAAATGACTTTGAGCATTTTCCCATTGTACCTACATGATTGTGAAGGTTTTTATCAGAGAAATCTAGCCAATTTGGATGACATGATATACATACAGTGTGCTTTTTTAATGGATGATTCATGGAAAAGTTCTGTGAATAAACCTCCAACCAAGCTCCATGAACTTGTTGCTCAGCCAAGATGCAGGCATTTCACTGAAAGAAATGGTGGAAACTATTACATTCATCACTACCCCTGCATGACAACCACTCTCATTCACGCTGCGGCACAGGGTTAGGCCAACGCTCCATTAGGAGTGTTCCCAACTTTGATATCATTAATTATTAATGATTAATGATTAATGATTGATAATCCTAACCCTAACCCTAACCCTAACCTAAATGACATTAAACCACAAACTATAATATATGACCATATATATATATCAGGAGTAGATAATAGGGAAGGAAGTGTGACTTCAATAAACAAGAAAAATTTCGTCATTTACTACCTTATAATACCTACGATTTACTACGCGTAACTCATCCAACTTGAGCTCAAATCGTACACAGTACATTCGCCTAGCATCGTGCGAAATCGTTTCCTCGTATACACCCGCAATCCGGAGATACCACACGGGCAATCTGTTTATTGAAGTCACACTCCTTCCCTATTATCTACTCCTGATATATATATATATTATGCTATTATGACCATTAATGACATTAAAGTTGCAAACACTTCTAATGGAGTATCACCCTAAAGTTAAGTTTTTACTCTTTACTAATTTTAAAAGTCTTAAAAAATTTTTGATTTTTTTGTATGCTTGCCGTAGCATCATTATAACTAAATTTGATATATCCATCCTCTGTCATAATAAGAAATTAATCAGTGATAAGGACACCCACAAGTCTGCATATATAACCTGTCGTGTCCATTCAGAGTGAGGCAACAGCTACAGATCCCAGTCTTAAAATTACTTACTATTACTACTGCTCATAGGGTCTATGTCCCCCTGACCTCTGTTTTGACCTGGCTCGTTTAGCTATTTCACTAACCCTAACCCTAACCCTATATATATTATATTATATATATATATATATATATATATATATATATATTATTATATATATTGGTCAGAAAATAGCTAAACGAGCCAGGTCAAACAGAGGTCAGGGGGACATAGACCTTATCTTGCATTACTACTATTACTGCTACATTGCATTAGAAAGCAAACACTACTGCTATCAGTGTCTGAAAAACTTGGAAAATGTTTGTAACAATTAATAATGGCACTCAAATTTCTTTAAAAAATTCTTTTTAAGTCACATTATTAAAAAAAAGTCTACGTATTACTTGAGGCTTGCCAGGGTCTATGTCTCCCTGGGTATACCGAACGTACCCTGGTACTATCTAATATTCCCGGACCGTACCGTCGCCTACTCCCCTAAACGAGTCTGGGAGTCGCCTACGCCTACTCCCTAACCCTAACCTGCTAACCATATCAAATAGTTACCAGGGTACGGAACGCAGTACCCAGGGAGACATAGACCCTAATCAGCATTACTTGACAACATACTTGTTTGTGTTTTGCAAACACGCTCCTCAGTTCTTCATAGTAAGTGTTTTGAGTCTCTTTCCGCAAGTTAAACTCAGACTGCAGCAAGCCAGGGAAGAGAGAGCATTCTCTGAGAAATATGTGCCTATAGAAAATATTAACAGATTGCATTACTTGTACTTACATTGCTTTTGCAACAACACTTACAGTAGGGCATCAGTGCATAGAAATAATATATACATACATAGATAGATAGATATAATAATAGATAGTCTTCTATACTATTTCTATGGTACTATGGCACCATTCTCAGGGTGTAAACTAAAAATAAAAAACTTCGGCCCAACGTGGGGCTCGAACCCACGACCGCCAGGATTAAGAGTCCTGTGCTCTACCGCCTGAGCTAGCCGGGCTATTATAGCTATAGCATTTTCAAAGTATCTATATCGAATCAGGCAATCACTTCCTTTACATAAACATGCAATAATTAATAGAAAATATGAATAGTATATGATATCCAGTGTCAGAATATTATTTTTTTATGACTTCTTTCGAAGCATTGTTTCAGGGGTAATAATTAAATTTTAAGAGGAGAAAGATAACTTGGATGGCTGCCAAGGCAAACTAGAAGAAACTACACTGATAGTGATTACTGATACTGAGTGATAGTGATTAATACCGCGCAATACCACTTTGTCGGAGGAAAATGGAAGGTCATGGTGTGGCATATATTATTAGTAAAGAACAACATAGAACCACAATGGGACTACACTCCTTAAGTTCATGCCACAAACTTTTTGCCACGGCATGGGGTATAATCAAAGATGATATACAGTTTCCATGGCAATGCCTTGACCCGATGCGTAGCACAAAAAATGGTCACGCAACATCTAGACTTCATAGGTGAATCAAGTGTATGAAGTTTCAATAAAATCCCTTGAAAACGTGGAAGTAGTTCGTGCCACAAAATTTTGCAACGGACGCGACTGCCCGCCCCGCGCCGCACCGACCGACAGCCATATAAGATGCCTCCTATATAGTATACCCCCTTCAAACTTCGTTTTGCGGCGGTATAAATATTAAAATATTCCTTCAATATAGGGGAACCAAGGGAAAGTAAAGGAAGAACACATACATACAAAGATGGTAATGGTAAAAACTTCATTATTGATATCTGTGATGCATTCAGTTACACAAAAACCTCATCAATTATCAGTGAATCATCCATCAATTACCATGATGAACTAAGACTGTTAAAATATTGGTGCAAAAAGTGATGGCAAACAAATTGAAATGACAGACAGCCAGATTCCGAAAAAACCATCAAATCTACTCCATTCTAAATCTATATAATTGTTTGTTATTGATGCTTGGGAAATTTTAAGAGAATTGTATTTTTTCATGTGGTAAGTAGCTCTAATCATGCAGTCCTTCACTCTATCACTGGATTATACAACTAAGTATGCAGGAACCGCCATAGGGTATCTTTGCAACGTGTCTCGCTATATTGTAGCCATTGGTACAATAAAAAAGGCACTAACTAATAAAATAAACGTGTTGGCTTTAGTCAACGACTCCAAGCTCTAACTCGACCTGCCATCATTTTGACAATCTGGGCCCCTATAATATCAAACACAAATAATCTCACGTGCAATAACACAAGCAGATATATCTTATTT